TCCCAATTCTCACATTCCCCAATTCCCACATTCTCCAATTCCCACATCCCCCAATTCCAAAATTTCCCAATTCCCACATTCCCCAATTCCCACATCCCCCAATTCCCACATCCCCTAATTCCCACATTCCCCAATTCCCAAATGCTCAAATCTTCAAATTTCCCAATTCCCTAATACCCCGATTCCCAAGCTTCCAAATTCTCCAGTTCCCAAATTTCCCAATTCGCAAATTCCCCTATTCCCTAAATCTCTCAATTACCAAATTCCCAAATTCTTGAAATCCCCAAATTCAAAAATCCCTAAGTCCCAAAATCCCCAAATCCGCAAACCCCAACTCCACCCTCCCAAACCCAGAAGATCACTCCTCAACAACTCCGAGCTTCAAGCACTCAGTTCCCCATAAATTCAAACCGCCATAATATGAATATCCCGAGACTCACAAACAAGGTACATAAAAGGGTAAAATCATAGTAACACTCAGTCACTGCTGTTTACCGATGAAAAATTCTTCCATCCGCGTGAAATATCACTGTGAACGTACGAGGGGGTGGCCACGGGGTCGGTTGCCACGGGGTTGTCTCGCTGAAGTTTCTCGCATAACTTAATTCTAATTTTCAACGAGGAACCGGCTTAAGCGAAAATAATTCACCGGATATTTTCGAATAAATTTGCCGCACGCAACGGAACCCCTCGGTGAAAAAGGGGCGGCCGAGGGAGGGAAAAAGAAAAAGAGTGGCAGGGCGTTAAGCTTTTCCACGGGGTGTGTAAATTATGCTCTTCTTACAAGCCGTTCCACGGCAGTTTTCACTCTATCCGAACCTGGCCAACGGCCTGTATTTATGATACGAGTTATTAAGAGAAAGTTTCAAGTTTTATGTCGACTAAACACCATACTGTGTACACTGCGCGTGTGTGTGTTGGGTATTGTTTTGAACGATATTAAAGGCACTCCTCGAATCACTGTGAAATGTGGTTATTTTTAGGATTATGTTCGATGGAACTAATCGCTGGTGAATTATGGTTATTGTTTGGTAGCTTATGTAAGGGTAAAACGATAACTGTCGACTGACGATGGTAATTACTTGAAGATGGTTGAAAGTACTAGGAGTGGTATAGGCGGTTTACTGGTACTTTTGTTTGGTAGATTAAACGAGTTGAGGTTAGGTTAATATTATACTATGGTAAAATTGCAATTAAGATGGCTGTCATATAAAGTTAAGATGGCTAGCATGTTTATTAGTCATTTAATATTTTTGCAATATTTTTATGTTTGATATTAACACTCATATACGTGAGTGTATATTTTATTAGGGCATTATGTTTTTTTTAAACTATCTTCCCTTATTCAATAAATGGAACGAACAGAGGTTAGGTTCAAATTTGAAATACTTCAAATGATTATCTTATTCATTAGTCATTTAATATTCTCACATCATCTTTATTTCTAATATTAATACTCGTGCACTTAAGTACATATGTATATATTTTATAACAACATTTTTTTAATGCACCGACATATTCATAAATTGCACATCGTTTAAAAATATATTTTAAATAAAACTTTTATTTGAAGAATTGTTAGAATAATTTAAAAAAAGATATAATTCAATGTTTCCAAAATTCGACCTAACCTAACCTAACCGCAACGAATGCAAGCAAAATGAATAAACCAAAGCAAGAAATTCCTGGAATTCCCTCTAGTTTCGATACGACTCGAATGATTCCATCGAGTACAGAAAACTTGGACAATTTGAAATTCTACGACAGCATCTGAATCGATGAATTCATTTGATGCTTTCAAGAAATGAAAACAATGTATCGAAATGGCGCATCTCATAGCAATAATTTTTCCTCCAGAAAAAGGGATCGCAATGGAATATTGGAAATTGCGATTGATATTTATTTTTCATTTTACTGCCTCGCCCTTCTATATTCCCCGGATCGATTTTTTAAAACATCACGTTATCGTAATTTAATATTGCTGTTGTTTTAATATTTGCAGTTCTTTGTGATATGTCAAATATTCAGTATTAAACAATTTTGTATATATTTATATAAAAATTCAAATATTTTATGCTCATATCAGTGTTCATAATTTAATGTTATTGTCTAAGGAGATAATATTAAATATTCAGTATTAAACAATGCTGTATATATTTATATAAAAATTC